CTAATTAACACTGTATTAACAATTATTGCTAACCTCAAGAATACAGGAAAAGGTAAAGAAATAATGAATGGTTATCTTTCATATTCTCTATGTCATTGTCTGAATCAAAACTACACTAAATGAGATCAATTTCCACTTCTTTGTGTGGCTTGTGGAATTAGAATATCATGTCATGTCACAAATGCACCTTAAGATCGTAGAAATGTTGCATATTCCACCACATTTGTTGTCTACCCCCCCTCCCATTCATCTCATCTCTGAGTATTTTTTACACCTTTCTTCTCCAAGTAGCATATTAATTTTATTTGTCCACTTCACATACAGGCTTCACCTATAGTAATTGGTGGGCGCCAAGCTATTGTCGAGGAGAAGAGATCCACTAATTCACGAGGCAAGTTAACTATTTTCTATTTAAATTACAACTTGTTCTATACAGGTATAATTAGCATGCAATGGTAGCAACCTAGCAATTACTCCCTCCGCCCCCCTTATATTGTCCCGTTTTACCTTTTCGGGAAACCCACTAAAATTGTCCCATACCATATTTGGTAAAGTTTGTGTGACTCTAAATCATTCTTACTTTATTCTTACTTTATCAATTAATATCAACCACACAAACCTACTTTTCTTAATAATCGTGCCACCCTCTTCCGTCCTAATATAAAAGGGACGGAGTTAGTATAAAATATTGATATGCTAAGTTCCTATCCAACATTCCAACCCTTGGGTAGTGTCAGAGTTGGATTCATAGTTATCTTAGAACTTGAGAGTGTGAGGTTCTTCAAATCACAATAGTTTTATGCATGTACATTCATTTTTAACTTTATGCATTTCCTCAGTCTAAAAGAAATCTTTTTTTTTATTAGAAGCACAACTTTAATGTTTGCAATGTACAACTCTCAAGTCATGTAGTCTTGCATATATATTTTTCAAAATAATTGAACATTTTAGGTCGGGGGAATAGTTTTTTGTGCCATTACCTTGATTTAATATTGCCAAAAGTTAATTGAGTTTTTATCCTAACTTGAGTAACTTCTAAAGAATAATAAGCGCACTCTATCAGCTGGCATATGTATTTGAATATTAAATATCCCTTCCCAATAGGTAGCAATAGAAGATTCGTTTCAGGAAGGGGATCTGGATTCAGAGGTGACGCTGGATTCAGAGGTGACGCTGGATTCAGAGGTGACTCTGGATTCAGAGGTGAAGGAGTTAGGGGGCGTGGTAACTATGGAGGTGGTGGGGGCAACAACAGGGGATACAACAGGGGGGGAGAGTTCAACGGCGGCCGGAATGAATTCAACAACCGGAATGGCAGTGGCAATCGTGGAGGATCTGCAAACCGTGGGAATGATGGATACTATTGGTCAGACAGTAGTGCTGTGAACAACCACGGTGGTGGTGGTGGGCGTGTGAATCGTGACGGAGGAATGACTAATGGAACTGCGAAAAACATGGCCCCACGTGTGTCTGCTACTGCTTGAAGACATCAATTTCGGGTTGAGACCTGGTCTTACTATGATTTTTTTTTTCATTTTGATTTTTTTAAATAGTTGCAACGAGGGTGAATTTGAGCTCATGATCAGGACTACTGGAATATTTTTGGCAGCTTTCCGTTTCCCAATTTTCCTCCATCATGGGTATATAGGAATAGCAAATTAGATTGGTAGGAGTATATGTTTATTACTATTGTTAATGCGTTGTACTTGGACAACGTCTGAACTCATAATGTCATTGGCACTTACTGCTGCACCTTTATATAATTGTTAAATTATTTTTTGAACTCAGAAGTCGTTCCTTTTACTTGAGTTGTGGTGAGCCAATTGCAAATATTTTATTAACACGTATAATCAGCACAAATGCACAATAGGGCTCGTCCGGTACTTTACATGTTAAAACTGTACACACGAAATGATTGCATATGAAGTTTAGAGAATCAATCATTTCTTATGCAAAATAGATTACATTGTTTGGTTAGATGTGTAAATTATTTTTAATTTGCACGCAAAGACATTGTAGTGCTTTATAAAGAGCGTGCAAAATATTTTACCACCCTCTCCCCACGTAAAACGCTTTACGTTGTACAGTGTGAAATGTTTTTAAAAAAGTGCAATACAAGTTACATTAAATAATCAAGGGAAAAGGGGCAAATAAACCCACGTATTAATAAAAAAATGTCAAACAAACCCTTATTTTAGTTATTTAGGAGGTTTTGTCTGGCCGTCGTCATTTGGGTCGGTTCTTGATGGATTTTTTTGATGAAATTTTTTGAGCATCTTATTCATTGAGTCTAGTTTACTCATACCAAATTTTAGCTAACAATTCAATCGGAAAGACATTCAAATGAATTCTTAAAGATAATTGTGTTTTTAAAAAGCTAAAAATAATTCATAAAAAAATTCCATCGGGAACCACCTCAAATGGCGATGGCCGGACAGAACCTCCTAAATAAGGGCTTATTTGACTTTTTTGGTTAGTATGTGGGCTTATTTGTCCCTTTTCTCAATAATCAAATCAAATTGTGTAATCATTTTAAGTCTTTTCACTTTGCATGCAAAATACGAAGTAATCATTTTACATCCTACCAAACCTTAATTTAGCTTTAGGTCTGGCAGTTTATAATTTTGCTAGTAGTCATGGAAGTGAAGGTCTGCACTAGGCTGTGCGTGGACTTCGTTAGCCCACTAACTCAAATATCGTCCAATTAAGCATGCGAACTTGTAAAAACGGTCAAATATGTTTTTTACTAGGTTACCAATTGGTCATTGACACGTGATGACACGTGACACTTTTTTTCCTTTCCTCTTTTTCCCTTCCTCCCTCTCTTTACCGTTGACTGTTTCTTCGCCCTGTTGCTCCCTCCCCGTTTCCTATTTTCTTTTCATTTCATTCTTAATCACAACCCCAAGCTACCCCTGTTTCTCACTTTTCTTTTATTTTTGGATTTTGACTCATCCAATCCATGGATAAACAAGGAAAATAAGAGCAATAAATAAAATAAAAAATTGATGGGAAGATCAACACTTCATGAGACGGAACGTTGGTAAGAGAGGATGACAACGTTCGGTGTAGATGATCATCGATAGACACTCTCTTTCTCAGAAATTGGTCGGAGAAGACGACCGGCGCTCAACCCAACTTCTATGGCATTGCCAAAGGTTGGTCGGGTAAGAAGACCGGCACTTGGATCCAATGGACGACCAGATTGGCGATTGTAAAATAAAGAAGGAAAAAAAGAAAGGGAAAGAAGGGAAAGAAAGAAAGGAAAATGGGATGGGGAAGAAAGTGAGAAAGAAAGAAAACAAAGAAAATAATGAAAGAAAAGGAAAAACAAAAAAGAAAAAAGATATGGAGAAAATACAAAGATTGAATGTCACGTCATTCCAATAAAAAGATATTGGAATGTTACTGGCTAAAAAGCCAATTTGATTTTTTTACGTGTTTGTGGGTCTAATTGGATGATATTTGGGTTGATGCCCTATGTATAAATATTTTCGTGGTAGTAACTAGTAGGGGTTTATTTTACACTTTTCCCTATGTAAATTTTTTTATAAGTAGTAAATTATTATATTGAAATTTTAAGTTTTTCCCCTTCCCCCAATATAAATTCTTTAAGCTCCGGCTCTCCTAATCTACAATTCTATTTCCGCCATTGTTAGAGACTAGCTTTCATTTTGGGTTGTTGTTTACTACATCCATACCGGGCCTCCCGGCTTAAAATTTTCACTAAAGAATGACATGATTATATAGACAATTAAATAAAATAGATCGAGAATATAACATAATGAGGTTAATGTTGATAATTGTGATGTGGTAGATGTATTATTTTAAATATTTGATGATTATTTTGTCATTTAATAGTGCTAATTAAAGACAAAAGAGTATACTTAAAGCATGTGTTTGATTAACAACGGCTCATCCCAATTGTAGTCTAATTACTGGCGGACTGCATTCCCTAATCAGAAGTAGTCCTTCCTAACCAAAATTTTTTGTTTATTCATTTCTTGCTCTAGTTTATACTTATATCCCTATATTGTTTTACTTTACGATTTTATTAATTTTGATTTCGTGCCATGTGCTTGTATTCAAGCCGCCAATGAAACTAACCTGAAGTACTTGAAGCAAGAAGTGGAAATGCATGAACACTATTGTTTATGGAAATAGAAAGAAATGCTTGCATTTAGGGCTGGCCCCGACAAATAAAGGGCCTTATGCATAATGCGGAGTATAACATAAGGTCCTAATACGCTTTGTAGAACTTAATGTCATATGACCAGACATAAAAAGGAGTGAGGCATTAACAGGCTTTGTCTAACAGGGCTGGATTTTTTTTTCTAATGAGCCTATTGTAATATACTATGATAATAAAAATTGAGACCTTTTAAAAATGGGGGCCCTGTGCAATTGCACCTGGTGCACATGGCTTGGGTCAGCCCTGATTGCACTATGATGACTAATGGATGGAGTAGTACAAGGTAATTTTTTAAATAAATTTCTTGATGAACGCATGAAGTAAATCGTGTTATTGAAATTTATTGATCTACTCATCATCATCATCATTACCCTAGTGCCGCAAGGGCTCCCACCTATGGTGGAGTAAGAGGGGGTCGGATGTACACAACCTTACCTCTGTACTAAAGTACAGAGACACTGTTTCCGGATGACCCATAGTGAAGATCGCTTCAAAAATTGCATGGACCGACTGTTTCTTCATAACAAAGAAGTGCAGACATTTTAATGGACCATTTTGCTTTATTCTATCATATTCCCAAGTTAAAAATTAATGAGTTTTTGACTCCATTGTGGTTGATAGAATAAATTTATAAAAAATGATCTTTGTACCCACTCTTATACTCACTTTTGTACACACCTATGTTTGTGAAGTGTTTTTTTTTGTCTGTGAACCCCGGCTCACAGACAATATTTTGCACAGACAAAATATTGTCTATGAACCCGGGTTCACAGACAAAAAAAACCTCCACAAACATGGTGGGTATAAGGTGGGTATAAAAGTGGGTACATCAAACATTGTTGAAAATAAATTTATTGATCTACTGATATAATTAAATTTGTTGACAGTGCTTAATATGATAGATGATGAGGTGGAAGTTGTTCATGAAGAGCATGTTATTCACAAGGATTGCTAGTATATCAGATGCGGTGGTAGGACCGCTAGAGGAGCGGCTCTGGGTGCAGATAGGGTTCAATCTGCAGAGGTTACTCACATTGTGACTAATGATGCCGCAAACTAGAAAGGTGCTAGAGTTGTTAATACAAATGAGGAAAAAATTATATTGCACATAGTGCGCAACACATTGCATCGATCTAATTATTGAAAATTTTGAGAAGAAAATAGTGAAAATATCCATACATGAAAACACAATTCCTGAAGTAAGATAATTGCTACCTTCATTTATTTTAGCTAGAACTGCTCTCATTACTCTATTAGACCACTACACAAATAAGAGAAAATTGGTGAGACCTAGCATGACTCGTTTTGCTACATGTTACTAACATTTGGGGTGTGTCATGAGAACAAAGTCATATCATTAAATATTTAAATGTTACTTGGTTTATTTTATTCTTTGGTTACTTTTATTCGGGGAACGTCGTGATTAATGAAAGATGTGATAAGCTACTACTCCATAAACATTTAGATGTTGTTGCCTATTTTTTAACACTCAATTGCATTAAATTCAACTTTAAGGTTAAGCGAGGTCTATATGACAATATAGCCGTATGGTAACTAAGGTTAACGAACAAACTAATATTGACGTTCAACATGATGAATTTTAGGACGTGGAAACTTTTTTGGCACTCCATTTGTTAGAAAGACCCTAGATAAGAAGAGTTCTATTTCAAAGTTTTATATTTCAAATCAAAGTAAAAAAAAGTAAATTAGAATAGATTTTTCGTCTTACTCTTTTTACTTTATCAACACAAAGAAAAAGGTAAAGTTAAGGGGCTACATATAAACTAGTGAGAGTCGCATGGAGGTGAGTATCCCAACTTCAAAAGTTTGTCGTTCAAGCGTTAAGCTTGGTAAGTTCTTCATCTAGATGGACTGCCTTTGAAATGATAAGAATTATAATAATTTTCTGAAATAATACTAACAAGATACTCATGGAGTTAACATATGTATGTAATTGGGTTGACTCAAATGGAAGAAATCAATTAAGCAATAACAATGATCTTGTTTTTGTTATGGCTAATTTGGAATTCAAAAAATGACAAGAATTCTAGTAGACCAACTAAATAAGATAATTTGGTTGTGACTTGTGAATACTCCATCTAGTCACGAAGACGAGCCATCCACAGTTGTTGAAGGGTCGCTAGTCTCACATGGATGTGGACATTCATGATTTGAACGATGGAGGAGTTGAAGTTCTTTACAATATCATACTTTTAGCATAGGTGAGAATGTTTTAGATGTAGACATGTAGTTCTCTAGCTAGAACTCTGTTTTAGATTTTCACATGTAAAATATTTAGTATTGGGTTCTAAATTATGGTAGTTTTTATGAACGTGTATAATATAATATTATATTGTAGAGGATTTTATGATCTGAATTACAATCCTATGTAATCTCTAGATTGACTATCATGCTGATAGTAAGGGGCTCAATAATCTTTTTATTAAATCGCATACTCTACTTCTTTTTCTGAACATGATGCAACTGTGACTTCTTGACTCCTTGTGCTAAAAGTAACATGGCATAGGCTATAGAGTACAGATGTGAGTTTGGTGGAGGGGTTTCATCCTTGCAATAGTGCTTGAGATACTACATACAAGATGTTCATACAGAAGAAAGAGAGTTACTAGCCGCGACACACATGGGCCTTCCATTCAAAAACATATACTCAATATAATATATTTTTGAATGATAGGGCCATGTGAATCATGACCAATAATCACCCTTTCTCTATATGTGGTTTTAGGGTAGGCTGTTCACTATGACATCTAAATCCTGCAACTATGCTGAAAATAATAATAAAAATTGCGTATTCTATTGGATGAATCGGTTAACTTAAAGCATCACATGCTAAAAATGCATAACATCTCTTTCATTGAGATCTCATGCCTATGCTTTTATTGCCAAACGACTACCATATACATGCATGCTTATTTGTATAATTGTATAGAGTATAGACCATCGAATTCAGAGTGAAATAAAATAACAGATTGCCATCAGGAACTGAGAAAGAAAGCTCCCCACATGATTCCATGCAGAGGACAGGAAGAAACGTGTTTGGATGGGGAGAAAGAATAGAAGACGGGAGTTCCCTATAACAATCTATTGATTGGGCAAGTAAAATGAGGAGACAAATAATTCCGCAGCTAGTAAAACATGTTTCTCTCCAAAATGGATCTGAAATGAGACCCCCCCTCCCACTCAATGCACATTTACACATACCTCGTTTTCCTATAGGAATGATCAGCCATCAACCTTTCCATCCAAACACAACAATTATTTTTCCTAACCCCCCCCCCCCCCCAATTATCTATCTAAGCACAAGACTTAAAACTATAATGCCAGTCTCGCTCAATTCCACGATGTCTTCTGGTTAGCTCTTTTGGGTGGCCGAATATCATAAATGTGCCTAGCAACACTCTTATCATTACCCCTTTAACTGTATGCACAACTTAAGGTAGAAGGAATCCAGCTTCCACAGCACATTTTAAAAAACAGCAGCATAAAGGTTATGTAGATGCGTAAAAGTGTTGGCCGAACAAAACTTTTGTTTATTATATAGTAGAACATGAAAGCAGGAAGGAGTACTAATGTACTATATAACTATATAAGCTGCTTGCATGCTTGCCAGTATTTGTAATGCGTAAAATACTTGAACATTGTTGAATGAAACTTTATGCATGATTAAAGTTCAGCAATAAAAATAGATAACAATTATGGACAATTGGAGATTGTAGAATGTAAACTATTTAAGAAAGTAAATATGCTAAAACTAAGGTTCTATGATGGAATAAGTACTAACTTTATGTGTAGGAGGGCGTGGAGAGACTTCCGACATGTGGATAAATTAGTTGAATGAATCTTTTGAACAAAGCTTCAACTATTACCACCACTTAAAGCCCAAAGTTACAAGCCTGGATATACTCGTTCTCAAAATCAACATATTTTGTCCAAAGTGGCCGAAATTGGGTGATGGCAATATCAAGCCATGGCTTCATGTTCCCATTGAAGTGGACAACTGCAGCATTGTCAATTTCGTCGATGCTGATGCTTGGATTGTAGCCAAGCCCTAAGACATGCCAAGACTTATCCAGTGGCTTTGTTGTGGAGTAATATGTTATCAAACCGGGAGGTAGTGTTCCCAATTTCCACAAAGTTCGGTTTTCATTCTGCAAAAGTTAAAATACTTCTACCTTCAGAAAGAATTTAAAATGCAATCTTCAAAATATAAATTAAGTGAAATTCCCAAAAATAAAAAACAAGCATTTCAGAACGTAGAAATAGTAAATGCTGCAAAATAACGATCCATACAAACTACTAACTAGAATTGCCAATATAATAATATTACCAGTAACCAGTAAATTAAATAATCAAATCACATCTTACCAGAGTCTGCCAGTAATGGTATTGTTCAGTGCATTTTTCATTGCGCCAAGCATCCAAGTCAAAGAAGTTCATCCCATACGCCCATGCACAAGCTTTAGGGTTAAACTTCTCTTTGATCAAAGGATGAGAGAAATTCATGTATTGTGCATAACGATGGAATGAGCCAAAACAAGTCTCCACGGCTCCATTCACTTTACCATCCATATCTATCTTCCAAAGGCCAGTTAAATCCCTCTGAACAACTATATCATCATCCAAGAACAAGATCCTGTGCAATTTTGGGTACATTTCAGGCAAGTAGAACCGAAGATGATTCAATATTGACAGATACTTTGGATTTCTGAATTTCATATTTGTGGTGTCCTTTGTAGCATTCTCAAGCTTATTCTCAAAGTAAAACTTCTGCAGATTAGCCGATTCAAGCTGTCGGAGAACTGGGACATACGAAGAGTTCAAGAACTTGTAATCCTCAACAGCCTTAACTTCAATGTGGGCCCCATTATAGTCCCTCATCTTGAACATAACTTGCATAGCCCCAAGATTCATCTTATCAGTGACAACATGAAACACGTGCTTCTGTGGGTCTTTTGAGTTCTTCACAGCTGAATTCACCACAACTGAAGCTGCAACGACATTGTCAGAAAATATGGCATAATGGTAAAGTTTGGGATCCTCAAATTCAGGTGGGGTGGGCTTTCCTTCATCGGTGTACTTGTCTGGGTGTGCAATGCGCTCCTCCATTAGTCTCATAGTCACACAGTGCAAGCTTTTGGGAATTGATTTTGCAGCAATCAAGCTTGAAAATGCACCTTGCTTTTTTGCTTTTGTTAGTTGGTCATTTACAGAAAAAATGGTATCTTTTAGCTTCTGAATCTTTAGCTGGTTATCAAAAGACTCCTTTGCCTCAGCAACGACTTGACGTGTGACTTTGATTCTTTCTTTCACCTCCTTCTCAAACTGCCGAAGCACTGATTCATCAAGTGAATTGGCATCCGATTGAAACAGTGCTTGGTATGAAGGCTTTGAAATCAAATCTGTATAGTTTTGAGACAGTTCAGCAAAGACTCGAACAAGTTTTGAGTTCTCGAGTTTGAGCTTTCGAGCATAGGAAGCATAAGCCAGAGCTAGAGCACGGTGATCATCAGCCTGCTTCCTTATCAGATCAAGTCGTGGCTTTAGTGGATCCGATTTCAGAGCCAGTACAGATCTTCGAAAAGGCCCAACTCCATATTCATCACGTGGAATCCCCTTGAAGCATAAAAAGTTCGTTACTACAATTGTACTTGCACTAAAAGCGTAAAGACTAAAAAAATAAATAAACAGGAAGCTAGAAATGGAAACCAGATCGAATCAATTGCGAGTGACATCTGCATATATCCAAATTCAAAAACACAATTCATTGAGTTGGTCGTTATAGATACCATTAGTAGAATTGCGCATTCTGAGATCACGTTAACTAAAATATATCAAACGCAAACAGACCATTATCAAACAATAGGATTCTAAAACGGTGAGATCGCTAATGAAATTTTGAAAATAAACAAATAAATCACAGAACAGCCGACAGAAGAGTGTGATGAAAAATGAGAACATAGCCTTGGGATACTTACAATGTTATGATGGGAGGGACCCGAAGAGGAAGTGTAGCGCAAAGAGAGAGCCAAAAAGAGAAAAACGGCTAGGGTGAGAGCGGAAGCGAAAAACTTGAAGGTGAAGCCGGCATCGGTGGATCTACCGGAGACCCGATCCGCAAGTGAAACAGAGCGGGAGGTACGAAGCATCGAGTTCTTCGCCATTTCCGCTTCTCTTTCTCCGGCGAGAGAGAGAAATGGATCAGAGTTTAGTAGAGAGTTGGAGTTTCTGAAGTGCTGGCTGCATACGCGGGTGGACGACGGTGTTGGGTTGAAATAGGACTCGATAACGGGGCCCACTCCTTTGCGGAACGACCCAGATCAGATCGCAATTTAATTCAGATCAATTAATTTTTTAACTAATAATCATTAATACTACGGAGTACAATTACTACGGAGTGGTGATTAATTAATTTCTGAGTAATTGATCCCACAACGACGCAATCTGTAAAGGTAAAGCTCTAAGTTTTTAACACACAA